TAGGCATCCAGGATTGTGAAGACTGTAATTCTAGGTGCTAATATCTGGTCTTGTCTTTGTTGGGTGGGTATTTTACTCTCTGGTTTCTGTTGTCCTGTCTAGTTTTTAGGAAGAGAGTGGTGGCTGTGTGTTGCCTATAATAAAAATCTTCCTGTGTCCTGATAGGTATTGGAACTGAGGGTTCCAATTAAAGTGTGTTTCTGGATATCAGGACCTGAGACTTAGTAATGGGGATGGTCTGGGTGGTGGTGGCATATGGCTTTAATCCCAGCACTTGGGAGGCAGAGACAGGTGGATCTCTGTGAGTTTGAGGCCAACATGGTCTACAAGAGTTAGTTCCAGTATAGGCTCCAAAACTACAGAGAAGTCTGTCTCAAAAAACTGTAGAATCAAAAAAAAAAAAAAAAAGGAAAAAAAGGAATGGGGATGGGCTGAGGGTTTGTGAAGGGAAGAAGGCACGGTGTTCCACCAGTATCTGCTTAGTTAGTCCCCTGGGAATAAGGGCACAGAGTGTGGAGAGGCTACAGCAGAAGGTCTGCTCCAGAGCTGGGGAGGAGATCGGAGCATGACACATGGGGAAGATCTGCAATTAGCTTACTTGCTTTCCTATTTGGAGTGGCCTCTGGTTTTCAAGGGAGTTCCTGCTGACCTTGGAGGCTGGGACAAAGCTGTGAGTGGGAGTAAGGAAGTTTGGAGGTGAAGATATGTGTGATGCCCTGGAGATGGGAACAGGAGGAGAAGGGGGGCGGGCACGGGTATTCTGTGGCAGATCTGGGGATGAGACTGAAGGATTGGACTTGGAGGAGCAAAGGGAGAGGGGAAGATTTACAGTTAGCTCGCGTGTTTTCCTGACCAGCGTGTGCCTCTTAGTTTTTACCATATCTACACCTGTGTATCTGTGCTCCAGTGCCATTGTCACATTGTCTGTAAATACCAGCTCTAGTTAATTCTATGTCTGTATGTGCATGCCTCATCATGGACTCCACTCCCCAGAACAACGTGCCAGTTTACCTTGGTATGTGTATCGCAGTGTTTACTTTCCCCAATGTTCGCCAGTCTCTGTATCCTTGTGTCTCGCTGGTATCTTACCGCCCCCGACTATTCACCTCAGCGTTTATTTGCTTTCGTGTTAGTACTTTGTTCTGTCTCTGAAATTAGTTTTCCATTTGCTGCATTTTTCTGTGCCAGGTCTTGGTGTTCTAGTAGCTCAGGTTCTGTGTGCTCCTTTGTGTATGTATACCAGTGTCTCTGTGTACCAGTCTTTGGCACTATTGCCTCTGCATTTCTGTGTATCTGATACCTGTAATAGAGCTTCTGTGTGTGTTAAATATTTATTCATGCCAGCGTGTCTGTGTGTTTTAGTGGCCATCTATGTTTTCCTTTGTCTGTGTGAATCATAAAATCTGTATGATGAGCACTTGAGTTATATCTACATAATTCCGTTTCCCAAGATTTCTGTATACCAAGGTTTCTGTGTCCTGGTGTCTGTAGTTCCTCTGGTATGCTATCATCCAGTGTCTGCATGCTCTTGGTTGTCAGGAAGTCTATGAGTGTCCGTTTCCAACTCTTAATACTTTCCTATGCCATAAATTCAATCAGTTTGTGTTTCAGTACCAACATAGCCCTATCTCTGGGTATCCCTATGACACCGCATTATTTACTTCTGACCTTATGTCTGTGTGCCTTGGCTGTATGTCTAAATGCCTATGTATCCTTACCCTTGTATGTGTCTGAGGTTTAGCATGTCCCGAGCTTCTTTTCTAGTGTCTCTATGTACCCATGTAGCTCTGTGTTTCATTACCTGCTTATCTAGGGAGTTGGCATTGTTTGAGGACATGCGTGTGTGTGTCCCCTTTCCTGTGTAGCTCTTAGTTTTTGTGCATTCCTGATTATATCTACCAGTGATTCTTTACATGTTTCTCAATTTTTGTATATTTGTAATTCTTTTTTTAAAATTTTATTTATTTATTTATTAAAAATGTCCACCTCCTCCCATCCTCCCACTTCCCTCCCCCTCCCTCTGCCCCCCCTCTCCATCACTCTCCAGTCCTAAGAGAAGTCAGGGTATCCTGCCCTGTGGGAAGTTCAAGCCCCCGCTCCATCTAGGTCTAGGAAGGTGTGCATCCAAACAGACTAGGCTCCCAAAAATCCAGTACATGCAGTAGAATCAAAATCCGGTGTCATTATCATTGGCTTCTCAGTCCGCCCTCATTGTCAGCCACATTCAGAGAGTCTGTGGATCCTTGCACATCCCTGAGTCTGTATATGCAGAATCTTTACATGACTTTGAGTGTGTCCGCATGCCACCTACTGACTACACAAGGTGGCTGGGTACCCACCAGCCTCTGTATTCCACTCTCAATTTGCTCTTATTTCTGCGTGACCCTAACTCTTTGCACATACTGGACACTCTGGGATCCAGCAATGTGTTCCTGCATTTTTGTATCTGTGTCCCTGAGTTCCTTTGTTCCAGGTAGCATCCACGTGCTAATGGTCTGCGTATGTTGTTCTCTGTGTGCCCACTATCAAAGAGCACCCAAGTCTGTGAATCTCTAGAACTTTCTTTCTCATGTCTAAATCTCTGTGTTTTGCTAGTTTCCTTCTCCGCCTGTCTCTCCTGCATTTCGTCAGTGTCTCTGTGTGAATACTTATATGACTGAACCTAAACTCTCCTAGTCCCCAATTCTGTCTCGGGTTCTACATGATGGCATTACTGTTTCTGTGAATTTATTTGTCTGACTATTTCTTTGCAGCTGTTTCTTTCTGTCTCATTGTCCTCGGTTTTATGTCTTTGCCTCCCTATCATAGCCTGGAGCCATGCCTTTTAACCATAATCCACTACCTTTTTGTCCTTAGGTTAAAACCACTGCTCTTATCCCTTTATTTATAGCCTTGGCCTGCTATATGTCACTGTTGAAGGTGTCCTCAAGTATATTCTGATTTAATGTCTTTGCATCCCTACCTTTCTCATTGTCTTCTGCCTCCTGACACATTCTGGGTCTAGTTAGCTTCCTTCCTTCCTTCCTTCCTTCCTTCCTTCCTTCCTTCCTTCCTTCCTTCCTTCCTTCCTTCCTCTCTCTCTCTCCTCCCTCTTTCTTTCTTTCTTTCTTTCTTTCTTTCTTTCTTTCTTTCTTTCTTTCTTTCTTTCTTTTCTTTCTTTCATCTCTACCTTTCCAGGCATATTGACTTCCTTTCCAGATCTACCCCATGTTTATGTGACTACATTTGTGGGTTCGCATGCCCATGTTTACCACTTCTCTTTCTCTGAGTTTCTATGCCTCTCTATGTCATTTCATCACAGTGCTGGCACCCGACTTTCCCTTATGTCTGTGCTATCTGGTCTGATTTCTATCTCTTTTTGGTGGTTTTCATTGTTCAGGGCTTTCCCTTCTTTGTTTCTAGATCTTGGAGTATGTGGATCTCTGCTGTTGGCTCAGCCTTCTTCTGCATGTGCTGGTGTCACTGCATCTTTGCCATGCAATGTCTGTTTCTACCCCTCACATGTTCCTGGCTGTGTGTCTCCATGTTACCACTCCATCCCCACCTATGTCTGCAGGTCAGAGGGTCAGGATACTCCTACGTTTCGACTTTTTTCATGCTTTGTTGGTTTTTTGGACTGTGATCCTGACCAGTGTCTTCCTGGCTATCTTTGTACCTTTATGTCTCTGTGATCTTAATATCTCAGCTCCAGGCTAAATCTCTGTGTCTACTGGTTTCTATGCTGTTATGTCTCATTTTTTACATTCGTCATTGTGCGTTTGGCCCAAAGTCATCTTGTTTTTATCTCTTTAAAGTTACTGTGAAGGGACAGTAACTCAAGCCATGGGAACATTGAACTCCAGCAAGAAAACATATGTTTCTGTCTCTGATATCGTCACTCTGGCACTCTGTCCTCTTAATGTCTTTGCGTCCATATGTTCATGGTTTTCGTTTTATTGTTGCCGCTGTTGTTTGGAGACAAGTCCCTGTCTTATAGCTCAGACTGGCCTTGAAATTGTGGCCATATTCCTGTGTCAGTCTTGCAAATGCCGAGATTCCAGGCGTATGGCCCCACACGCAGCTGTCCATGTTTCATTGTTCTGAGTTCCCTGTCCTTTCTACTGCTATGTCTCCTCTGTCACCATATCTCCATACTCATGCCTTTGTGGCTATTTTCTGCATGTGACCCATGTCTTTGGTTGCATGCCTTACTGCTATTTAATGGTTATTCTTGTTCATTCATTTATTCTGCAAATATTTATTAACACCTACCATTACCACGAACTGTGGCTACACCGGGGATTCAGAACAGATTCTTGTTCTCAGAGAGGTTACAGGCTTAGCCAGAATCCAGATGATTATTACACAGTATGAAAAGTGCTGAGATTGGATGGGACATAATGCAGGTGCCAAACTCAACCTCATGGAAGGCCCAGGGAATGTCTTCTAGGAGAAGGAACAACTAAGACTTGAAAAATGAATCAAGTTTACCTAGATAAAGGAAGAGTATCCCGCACAGAAGGTGAATACATATAGAAGTCCAACGGCGGGGTCGATCATAGCTTATTAGGTAAATCCAAGAGCTATGAGTACACTGTAGAAATACGGGGATGCTCTGAGCAGGACTGGTGACCCAGTGAGGCTTTGCTTGTAAGAAAGACAGTCTGGGGCCTAGGAAAAGGAAAATGAATGGGAGGGTGAGGTGGAGGTGGGATGGTGCATTCTGGGAGAAATAGACGGAGATGTCGGGGGTTGATGAGATCAAAGTCCATTGTATACATGTGTGAAATTCTCAAATAATGAATAAAAAAGAAAGTCACTCCCAGGGCTAATGTGAATTTGGAGGGAGCAGAGAGTATAAACAAGAACTACGAGGTGAGACTACTAAAGCTTGTACCTCTGTGCTTCCTGGCAGATTCGTCCCTTAGCACACGCATATACAGTCTTTATGTGCACCTCCACGTACCCAGGCCTGTGTCCTGGATGACTCCATGCCCTGGCCACTGGATCTCCCAGTTTTATATCTCCTGGCTCTAGGTACAAGAGTCATCACAGAACATAGGCAAGGTAGGGCTGGCCCAGCAGCTGTTCGACATGAGAGCGTTTCACCAGCCAGCATGAAGTCCAGCGCGGACGAAGCCTTGATGACTCTTTCAGCAGCTTCTTGCCTAGTACCACTGGCACATCTGGGCCATGGTGCTTCTGTAAATAAGACCCAGTAGGTCCTGTTACCAGCCGGATGCCTGGGTGCTGAAACTGTCCTGTGGAAGAGAAGATGCGCACCAATTGGAGCTCTGGGGCGGTCTGAAAGCAGGGAATCTAGGAGGAAAGAGGCAGGGGAGAGGCTCAGGAGGGGAGAGGCTCAGGAGGGGAGAGGCTCAGGAGGGGAGAGGCTCAGGAGGGGAGAGGCTAGACACTGAAGAAAGCCAGATGGGACAGGGGTGTGGTGTGGAAGTGGAGAGTCAAGACTGCAGAGAGAAAGAGAGCAGCTGGGCTTGGAGAAGACAGGAAGATACAGGGGAGAAAGAAATTCAAAGAGCCTTGGGGAGGTGAAGCTATCTGTTCGACCTATCATGGCTGGTATCGGGTGCTGCCGGGGTCATCTGACTTCTTATAGTCTACAGTCCACTTTCACGGAAAGCTAAATACTCAGATGGTGCTTTATAATACTAAGATCTTGCTGTGTCTTTCTCTGTTTAGAACCTTTCACGGCTCCCCCGCCATGACTTTGAGATGAAGTCTGACTCCTCACGCTGACATTCAGGGGGATCATGCCAGCACTAGCTCGGCCAGTCTCTGTCCCTTGTCCCCACACTTCTCAGCCTTCCAGATGCAATGTCCTCCCTCTTTTGAGAGCCTTTTCTTGAGCTCTGTGGCTGGGGACATTTTCCTACTTTGGGTCACTGTAGGTTCCTGGGCAGCTCCCTTCACACTCACCCCTCCTCGTGATCCCTATTCTATGGCCGACTCTTTCCTCTTCCTGTATCAGTGGCTTCCTAAAGGCAGAGCCTGGCTTTCATTTCTCTGCACAGTTGGGAACCCGCTAGACCGTCATCCTAAAAAAAGGTTTCTTGGCTGAAGAAAAGACTCAGAGGTTAAGAGCACTTACTGCTCCTGTAGAAGTCCTGAGTTTGGTTGCCAGCACCCACATGGGCTCACAAACTGCCTTAACTCTCGTTCCAGGGAATCTGAGGTCCTCTATTGGCCTCTGGGGCTATTCAGCACACACACACACATGCAGGCAAAGCATCCATATACACACAAATAAAAAGAAATAAAGAAAGGAAGGAAAGAAGAAAGAAAAAGGAAAAGAAAGAGGTTTCTATTAGGACTGGTACATCGTGGTTCCTCTCAACCTCAGCAGCACTTACCCATCAGGCCACGGGCTGAGGGGCTGAGGCCTGAGCCATTGGCCACATAAAACCCCAAATGGGGTAGTTGTAGTATGCTAGGGTGTCTGTAGTGATGACGAAGGATGAGGAAGTTGAGGTGGGGCCCAAATTGGATGGTGAGATGGTTTGCAGAAGCCACATGGAGCTTCAGCTGGGGCTTCTTCACCAGGGCAGGCTGGTTCCAGGGTAAGATCAAGGTGCCCTCACCATGCACAGATATGGAACTGCGGTTTACTGTAATAGTGTAGGCCCGGGGTTTATCTGAAGTGATTGTGATGATCTGGAAGTATGTACGGGCCTGGTCCTCGTGGCCTGGTCTTGGCGGTGCTCCAAGCAACTTGCCACTCACATGCAACCCTGTAAAGGGGAAATGCAGGCACAGAGCACAGGCTGTCACCCTAGCATGCACATGGTGACCCACTGCACAGGCAGGGCTGAGGTCTCAGGTCCCAGGGTTCCCATGACAGAATTCAGATTTGTGGCTAGAATGCTATCTCTCCTGTGGGAATGCTTCCACCATGGTCCACCCTGAGCTGCAGGTAAGAGGAGCATGTACACATGCTCACTCTTATGTGGCTATTCGCATGCTTGCCTATTGCTCTATAAATCTGTGTGTTTGGTTATATTCCAATGAGGATCTCTGGAATATCAGTACATCGACATGTTTGAAGAAGATGGTATGTTACAATGTGTATCTTTACTTGTGCCTCTGAATGTGTTGGTGTTCTATGTCTTGGCTGTTTGTAAGATAGGCCAACAAGTATAAAGTGCTAGTATGCACACATCTGGATGCATATCACTGTGTGTCAGGTGACTGTTTCTGTACACCAGTCTATTTCATGTGTCTGATATGGCAGAGAATATGTGCTACTTCTGTGCATTTGATTCCTGGGAATTGGGCTCAATCTGGAAGCATCAGGGCTTTTAAGTCAGAATGTGTTGATGTGTATGGGTTACTGTGTGGTACATATTTACCTATTTATGGGTATGTGGAATATCAAAATAATTTACCATATGCCCCGATATGTATCTCTGACTATCTTAGTGATTTTTGCGAATGTGCTTGTTTTCTTTGGGGGAGGGGTACTTTTAAAATTTATTTATTTATTTAATTTTTGATTTACGTATTTTTGAGACAGCATTTCACCATGTAGCTCTGGCTGTCCTGGTACTCACTATGTGGTCTAGGCTGGCCTTGAACTCACAGAGAATCCTTTTGCCTGTACCTCCTGAGAACTAACTGGGATTTAAGGCATGCACCACTACACCTAGCTTTAGATTTATTTATGTATTATTTATGTGTGTGAATGCTTTGCCAGCATGTATGTATGTGTACCATGTACATGCCTGGTGCCTGTGGATGTCAGAAGAGGGTGTTAGATCTCCTGGAACTGGAGTTACAGATGTTTGTGAGTCATATATTTGTTTTCATATATATGCTTGCATATTACAAGGTATTATATATAATTATTTTATACATTATAAAATATAAGGCATATAAATATATAGAGAACATAATACTTACATATATGTATTATAAACATATTATCTAGACCAATATTATATGTATGTATGTACATACTCTAGACCTCTAGAACTGTAAGCCAATAAAACTCTCTTTATGAAGTAATACCCCAGTATATAAAATATGCCATTATTTTATATACTCTATTATAATATGTATATATATAATAAAATGCTAAATATCTAGGGTTACTAACATGAGAACACTCAGTTGTGGTTGTTTGAGAATGGAGTCCTTGGGGCTCTCACCTGCCTTAGGGTCCTCTATGAGTTGCAGTAGGTCCCCTGGGCGCCCATCCAGTGTGAAGCAGATCTTCTCTCCTGAGTGAGGAATGCGGACCACAAAGTGGGGATCCCCATCCACTGAAAGGCAGGAGAAGAAACTCTGAAGTTCTGAGTCTTGAAGGAATGGGAGAAAGGAGAGGGCAAGGAGAAGAGGAGAACAGAAGGATGTCTATTTCCCAAGACAGAGGTACTGGAGTGGGGAGAAGAAGAGGGAGAGGAAGGGAGGGAGAGGGAGGGGCAGAGAGGAAGAAGAAGAGGGAGAGAGGGAAAGAGAGAGGGAGAAAGAACCCGGTGTCAGTACCAGTGTACAAAGTGGTGGGGGGATGTGAGTGGATTACCAAAGGACGAGAAGGTGAAGATGCCTGGCAATGTGCCTGCAAAGAATAGAGGACATACATTGATAAGCAATTGATCTAACACATCCCTAACAACCCTGGGACCCTCCGGCTTCTGAGTCCTAGGTAAGGGCCAAATTCCTGAGCTCAGTATTTAAACTTTTTCTGGAATTTATTTCCCCAATATTTTCTTTATGCTTTATTCTATACTAGTCAAATTGACTTTTTTATTGTTTTTCTTTGAGTCAGGGTCTCACTGTATAGCCCAGGCTGGACTTGAACTCTTGATCCTCCTTCCCTTAGCCTCTAGAGTTCTAGGATCACACATGACTATCACACTTGACCCTGAACTGACAGTTGTTATGAACTTTTTCAATTTTTTTGCTGATTCCTGTTTTTCTTGCCATTTGGAATGTTTTCCTTTTCTTTTGTTAATCAAAGTCAATTTCTAGTTATCCTTCAAGGTCAGACTAATTGATGGACTAATTGATTATTAGCCAGTGATTGTTCTAAATGCAGCCTCTTTGGGCTGGCTTGCTCTGTCTTGCTGAGTGATGACTTGCACTGCTTTGAGATTCTGTAGAGTTCCTACCATCAAGGATATTCTCAGGAGATGCAGTCACTCAACTTTGGACCTCCCGGGATCCAGAATTGTGAGATGAATGAATGGCTCTTCTTTAGAAATTGCCCATGCTGTAGCATTCTGTTACAGCAGGAGAACATGGGTGAAGGGAATGGAGGTTGAATTATTTATTATTGGAAACATCTTTTTCATGGAATATGCTATGATCACGTTTCCCTCCCCCCAGTTCCTCCCAGATCCACCTCACCTCCTTACATATCCAATTTTATATTTTTCTCTTTCAAAACAAACAAAAACAAGAAAGAAACAGAAAAATACAAAATGAAGAAAATTTAAAAAACAATCAAAAGGCCAATAAGATAAAAAAAAAACCTGTCCAAACAAAGCAATATGAGACAAAAGTCTACAAAAACACCATTGAATTCATTCTGTTGGCTAACATGGGCATAGGACCTGCCCTGATGTGTGGCTGATAAATTTAATAAGATTCCATTGAAGAAAACTAATTCTACAATGTGTTGCTTTAAACTGCTCAATTTATGGTAATTTGTTATACGGTGATGGAAAGGAATATATTGTCCCTCCTCTGGGCTTCCATACTGTCAATGAGAGCTTCAAATGACACTGACTAGACATGGGGGCTTAGAGGAGCCTTTGCCAGAGGAGCCCCTGGTTTACCTTTTACTAGCTCCATGGAACTTTCCTTAGAGTCCATATCACGTTCAGCTCCTCCCGGGATTCTCTCAGAATTGCCATTCCAGTGTGGACTTCCTGCCAAACACAGAGAAATAAAAGGAATCCTTCCCACGTCTGGGTCGAAGAGAAGACAAGGTCTCACGGTGCAGTCCAGGCTTGCCTTCAGCTACTGATCCTAATGCTACAGTCTCCCAAGTGCCAGGATTCTATGTGACCTCCATGTCTGGCCCTTTCTTCCTTCTTACTGGGAGAGTCCTTACCGGCTACTCAAACTAACCTGCTCATGTCTATACTTGCCACAGCCCCTCTCAAGCTCAGAGACACTCCAGTTCCTTTCTCCTAACACCTGTATTCTCATTTGTGTGCATTCACTCCCTTATTCTTCCAGGCACTGCTTAGGTAGGCATCAGGCTATGATGGTGACAAAGACATGTGTGGTTTCTCACTTGGTGAAATGTCAGAGTCAAGATTATCAATGGTGGTGGATGCTATACAAAAAAAAAAATTGCTTTACTTCCTTGGACTGATCAAGGAAGGGAAGGCCTAAAGTGGCTTTTGGAGGAAGGTGGGTAAGAAACCTGGTCTGAGATCCAAGGCACCAGCTGGAGTTTTAGGGGCACGGGAAGGATGGAAACTATAGGAAAGGGTGGGCCAGGTGAATCAAGGAGAAGCAGTAGAAAGAACGACGTCCCTGGGTGATGATTGTGGAGGGCCAGTGTGGGGAGTAGGGAAGAAACTAGGGGTCTAGAGTTGAGGAGAAATGGGGGAATGGGAGAAGGTGAAGTCAGTGTGGTGTGGGCCTCGCAGGCCATACAGAAGACTTTGAACTCTATTCTAGTCGTGGCGGGAAATCCTGGAGAAGCATTATGCAGGAAAAAAACATGAACGGATTTGGTTCTTTGAAACATGTTGTGGCCTGCAAGAGGGCAAGAGGGGCCTGGTAAACAGGCCAGAAGAGCTGTTTTAGATGGGATGGCAGTTTGTCTGATTCCTGATTGTGGCGGTTGGGATTGTGAGAAGTCCGTAAATTTGGAAAATAGATTAGAGGTAACATCACTAAGATGGAAAGGCAGGTGGGATACTGGGGAAGAGAGGGCATGGTAATGTCAAAGATGTGTTCCTGTGAATGATTGCTACCCCTAACCCATTTGAATCATCTGCTATTATGTAATTCAAGAAATTCTTCTAAAAATTAAAAAAAACATAAATAATGGAGTGGTGAGACCCATTTTGGGGGACCAGAATGTATGGGTTCTAGTCTCTAGCTGTGTGACATTAAACAGGTTGTTTTACTTTTCTATGCTTCAATTTCTCTGTGTATAAAATGCATATATCAATAGTTTCTCATGGAGAATGAAATGCTAGATGAGAGACATGATATGAAGAGAAGTACCTGCACATAGGGAGAACTAGAAATTAATGTTTCAAGTCTTTGGGTAATGTAATGGGAACTGCCATTATTTTCTGTAAAATGTATATCCCTTTTTGTTAAGGGGACTGTTCTCAGAGCCCAGAACAACCAAGCAGACCTGTCTTACCCAGTGGCGTTTCAATTGCTACCACCACATTCCTCCCCTGCTTGGGAGTCAGCAACCATTCTCTTTTTTCAACAAGACAAATGTCAACTCTGGTTTAGCCCGTTTGCTTCTGTTTAGCCTCTCGAGCCTTATCTGCCAAGGCCTCAATTCTCTGCCTATGTACTGAGGTCTAGAAATGTTAACTAGTCCAAAGTTCCAAAGCAACCAAGGAAGTTTCTGGAGCATTACTGGGAACATACCTCCTCCATGCTTTGCTCTCTCCATCCACACCTCCCCTGCTCCACCTTGGCCTCTTGCCAGCAGCACTCAGCACTCACCGTCTTTGTCAGGAGTGAGGAAGGTATAGAAAACTGGTGGGTTCAAGGACTCCACGAACTTGGACTCTATCACTGACTCTGGCAGCAGCTGGAGCTTCTCTGGGAGAAGATGAAGGCTGATGGCCTCAGGGAGAGTGCTGGAAGGCAGCAAGATTGGGAGGTTTCGGGGAGATGCCTCCTAGCATAGGACCAGAGCTGTGGTTTAGGGCCATTAGTAGAATCCCTGGCAGGGATGGTCCCAGAACTTGCCTGGTGCTCTTGGGTCCCAGCAGCGAGTCTTGCTGATGCCAGAGTCTTGCAGCAGGAAGCAGAGAGGTCAGAGTAGGGGTAAAGGGAGAAGGGAGAGGTTCCCCAGGAAGAGACGTGGCCACAGTACTGCTGGGACTTGTGGAACTTGAAAGTGTGCTTGAGGATGCGTCGAGGCTTTGAAGAACTACTGCCCTGGGTCTGGCAGGGAGTGGAATTTGGGTGTTATGGGGAGTTGGGGTTCTGGACTTGGAAAGTAGTAAGCTAGTAGAGGTTTGGTGAGATGAGATATTAGGTTTAAGAGATGAAGGGATTTTAGGAGACTTGGGCAAGATGATCCCAGATCTAGGGTCTGGTAAATTTGGGGGAGTCTTGGGAGCAAGACCTTTGGAGCTGAGGTGTAATGGGTGTTTGGCTATCTGAAATGTGGAGACAGACTTGGGCTGTGGCAGGCTTTGGGGTGACTGTGCTATGGGTTCCCCAGGTTGAGGGTATGATGGGGAATCAGGTGTAGGCTGAGCATCTGATGAAGCCGGAAATTCAGAAGGAGTAAACGGATTAAAATGCTTCATAGTGTCACTTTTGGGCTGGGTGGGGCTGACAGGGTTCAGAGTTAGGACACGTGTCCTAGAACTAACAAGCGATGTCACACCAGGATTCTGGTGTGATGGAGTGCTGGGCTTCAGAGGTAACAGGGCATTAGAACTTGAAGGCACAGGGGCAATAGGTTTCATCTTCAAAGTTGGCAGTGCCAAGGTACTGGAATCTTGGGTTGGAATTTGGGGCTTTGGTTGTACTGATGTTGGCAGGGCATTAGAGGTCTGGCTTAGTGCCCCCAGCTCCTTGGAACTGGGCATCTTCCTTTTAGGGGCAGTAACAGTTGAGTTGGGCTTCATGGGCTTTGATTTGGGAGAGACCTTGAGGACCGAGGGTGGTTGAGCTGTGCCTACTCCCAGGCCAAGACTTTTGCTGGGTGAGGGTGTGACTCTGCTTGCCTCAGCTGTCGTGGATGACTGGCTCCTGGATCCCTCATTGGTCTTCCCGAGGTGTACCACAACCAGTGAGGTCAGAGGTGAGACAAAGTTGTATTCAAGGGATAAGTTGAGGGCTTTGGCAGCCAGCAGTCGGCGAGTGGTAGGGTCCCGGGCTTGGAAGCGTGCCTCCAGCAGCTCCCCAATAGTGATATAGGCCCACAGGCGGCGGATAAAGTGGGCCACATTGAGGGCAGGTTTCCCCGGGCAACCAAAGGCCTTCTGGCTGCTGTTGGTGGCTTCTTCACTATGGCGGGCCACAAGAAGTTGACCATTGGGGCCACGGGCTGCTAGGTGGACACCCAGTTCCTGCTTACCTTGTTGCACCTTGCCAGCCACCACCAGCTCTGAACCACAAAAATAGTTAGGGAAATGGGCCCTAGGGGAGGTCCCAACCAAACCACCCAGATAGTCCAGGCGCACATCTGCCAGTAGAGGCTTGGAAATCTCCTCATAGAGACCCTCTAGCTGCAGAGCGGCGTCGGTGTCCTCGTATATGCGTCTTGCTTCTCCCCGGTTCTCCAGGGACAACCGGCGCAGTAGTGAGAAATCCGCATCATCCCCAAAGGCCAAACTGAAAAGAGATACCCTGTGGCCCAATGCCTGACGGATGTTGGAAAGGATCGCACTGGGAGTTGTCACGCCGGCTGTGGGCTCCCCATCTGTCAGGAACATGATAAGAGGAATCTGCCCCACACCACGGCCCTTTCCAGGCTCCTGGTTGCTATGGTTCAGCACTGAAGCAGCTGCCAGCAGAGCTGCGTTGATGTCGGTCCCTAATTGGGGAGCAGACTGTGAGATCACTTTCTCAGGCCATTTCTTACCCCCCACTGCAGACACACTGGTACCATACCATGCTCCCAGGCTCATCCTCCCCACCTGATCTTTTCTCACACTGTTCCCGCTGCCTATCCCTCCAAACTCCATCACTCTCGCCCTGGCTCATGTGACCTGATAGTGGAGTCCATATGTCCTTGTGCTTATCGCTCCCTGTCTCAGACCATGCTTTGACTATTCCCCAGGGTGTGTGTGTGTGTATGTGGGGGACAGGATCATATCATTTTCTAGTCAGATGACAACCACCCAGAGACACCACCACCACCTTCTTGCTACAGGGGAAAAGATGGCTTAGATGACAGAGGCAGTAGATCTGGGAGAATGGAGTAATTATTTGAGAACAAAAGTCACGGGAAATACAATGCTGATTTTAAAAGTCTTAGCAATTTTCTTGTTTGTTTTAAGGAAGAGGACACTGAGGTCCAAAGAGAAAGAGGCTAAGATACAGGGGAAATCAACCATGTTCCTCCCATCAGGAGAGGGAGATAGGCGGGGAACCAAAAGGAGGAAAAGGTACGGTTTTTATGCGAAATGTGAAAGTGATGTTTCTGGCAGCGTGAGAAATGAGAAGCATCGGGGAAATGAAGAGAAGGGCTCAGAAATTTCTTCTGTCACCACAGCCTGTCCATTTGGGGAGGCGGGTAAAACACTTACAGCCATCTGCTTCCATGCGACTCAGGTAGTTCCTGGCACTATGAATGTTTTCGGCAGTGGCCTGGATTGAGCCTTCGGCTTTCCAGATGTTAACTTTGTCAGAAAAGGAAATGATGTTGAAGTAGTCGCTGGCTTGCATGTCACTGAGGATTGTGTTCATGGCCTTTTTAGTCTGTGGGATAAGGATGAAGGAGATGAGAGAAAACTTGAGCGCCACAAACTTGAAAGGCTCTGTTCACGTGACACTTAGCTCTCTCTGGGTGCTTCACGGTTTTAACCCTATTTGACCTCTCCTTTTGTGAGTTGAGGATATTAGGTCAAAGTGTTTGCAAGGCTTTATGGTAGGCTTCAAAGTTCACTCTCCAATAGAGAAAAAAAATCAGTTCTTAACTTATAAGAGTCATATTTCACATGTTCAATGACCACATGTGGGGGGTGGTTATTGTTCTAGACAGTACAGAGTTTGAGATTATCATCTAGCAAGTTCCAATGGAGACATGCATGGTGATGCATGACGGTAAACAGCATTCGGGAGGCTGAAGTTGAGGGATTACAAGTTCCAACATAGCCTGTGCTATAAAGACTGTTTCAGAAAGCAAAGCAAAACGAATGAACACAAGAAAGGTCTACTGGACAGCTTCCCTCTCAAAGCCACCAGGTCTGTTCTTCCCAGAGCTCTACAGTCTCTGTAGTCAATGGATTCTGAGCATATGCTCCTTGGCTGAATGAGTTAACCCTTTCAAGTAGGAGGACCTTATGATTAAGGAGCCATGTATCTGGCTGCGGGGCTTCGGCTTGCTTTCCTTCTGCTCAGATCAGCTTCTGATCTTCAGCCCCTCTGTCTCTTCCATGCCTACATTCTCATCAGACCCTGGAGAGCCCACATTCTATTTCAACTGCATAACTCTACCCTGGTGCCCTTTAGATAGCACGCCATTTCTCTTTATGTAGCCATATCTTCAATGAACTTTCACTTGCCCTTTCTCAGGGAAGCATTTTCATGAGCGATCTGCTTTCATCCTTCTCACCCAGAGAGTCTCTACTCTAGACTGTTCACCCAGACTCTGACATGGAAATATTTGCACTCTCCAGCCTCATATCCAATACTCTGCAAACAGGCCACAAAATGCTGCTTCTTCCTCTGTCTTTCCCCCCATGACAACAGCTAATAGAGAGCTAGGCATATAGGAGGCTCCATTGATAGTAGATTCTCCTATTAGGCACCACTAATAGGACACTTGCTATGTTCCAGACATTCCTGAATATTTTACCTGTATCAGTTCATATAAGTTTTACAGAAGGAGAGTGAAGAAGGCACTAGTATTATTCCTATTTCCAGGTAATGGCACTGAGGCTCACAAAGACATAAGTAGTTAGTAGCTCAGAGTCAAACAATTAGTAGTTGATGGATCAGAGACACAAAACAAACATTGAAAGGGTAGAGGGCTGGAAATACAGCTCAGTCAATATTGTGCTTCTTAGCAGGCATGAAAACCGATATCCTATCACAGCAGCACATAAACTGGGCATGGTTGTGCACACCTATAATTCCAGCACTTAGAATGCAGAGGCCAGAAGATGAAATTTCAAGGTCATCCTCAGCTACTTAATGAGATTGAGGGCAGCCTGGGCTAGTACAAGAAACCCGGATTCAGAAAAAGAACACCAGGTGTTTAAAAAAGAAGAACCAACAGTCATTGTTTTTTTTTTTTTTTTTTTTTTTTTTTTTTTA